CAGACAGCCAAAAGAGTAATGGACACATATCCCTTCATTCATCCCTCCATTTCTCTCCCTTAGAGTCTTACATCTCCCTCAGCAGCAGGCTGCCCTCTTACAACACACCTGGGAGTTGGTCCAGCAGCTCTCACACTTAAACATATGCATGCACACTATACGCAAGCACACACGCATTGAAGCTGTGCAATACTGGGGCTGTTTGCGTTTGCTGCAGTTACTTTTTGTATGGTTTTTTTTTTAGCCTATTTGTTTGTTTGTTTCCAGTTTTCCAGGATGTTTAGTGTCGCCTAGTTAACGGCTAACCCTGCAGCACAGCCACCGGTGCCGTCGCGCCACATGCCCATTAGTCCCGTTGCATCTCCTCTGCACGATGACACTTTAAAAAACAACACCACCGGCGTCCTGCCAGCCACTGAAGCCTCGGCTTTGTTTTTACTTCTTTTGTTAGGGGGGTGTGTAACTCACTCTTATTGGCTGCACCTCTCTTCTACTCCTTCCTTCCCTCACTTCTTTGCATCTGTTGTATTGTTCTTGATTTGCGTTGAAATTCTAACCCTGTCTCGCTGATTTTTAATTGATAAGTAACATCTGGGGGCCACTTCTGCTGATATGGAAAAAGCGATTAAAGAAAACCTTATATAGGTTAAATGGAAGACAGCTAAAACTATCTCTAGATTTAACGGGACCAGTATTGTGTTGGTCTGCGGCCCTTTGAATTTTCATGTTTCTCTCTGGTCAAAATGGAGAAAGGAAGAAACTGTCTTTTTGGCTGTTTGTTTCCTGGAAAAAACAAAAGCTGCTGGATGGATTACAATGACACTTGGTGGAAGGATGCGGGTCAGGGAAGAATCCAGTACATTTTGAGGATCCAGGACGTTTTCTTTCGATTTTTACCAATTCCTCAGCGAATGATTCACGGAGCTAGATGAAAAAAATAATCAGGCATATTTCAGGGACTAATAATAATGTGGGGGGGGCTGTTAGGCGTTGGCGGAGGTTTGCACTTCACTGATTTTTGAGCAGTACACAACTGTAAGTGGAGAAGGAGCAAGAAATACAAGAGGGCGGAAAAAGTGAGAAGTGCATCCAGACCCGTAGAGAGGGTGTCGCAATTACTTGACAACCTCTCGGTCTCAGGTCACCAGGATGCCCCTGCAAAATGCTGCTTTAGAAGTAAGACATTGCTGCCCCTTTTGGCCTCTCCTGCTCATAAGCTGGCAGCGCCTCACGCTGCTGGATCCGGTCTAATTATCCTCCTTTTTCCAAGGGTCACTTTCAGGTTAGGTCCCAACTTTTCTACCCGTAAAAACCTCTAATTTAGGATGACTCACGAGACCTCAGTGGTTAGACGAACATGCAGATTTTGTATTTCCTTGACATCTGCAATAAGCTCCAATTTCATGTCATGCATGTTATGAAACGCTGCAATTTATGATGTCATGTCATGGCAGGACCATAATAACCATATTGAGAGATCTAAATATAACGTATTGCTGCGTTAAATTAAACAGATGGTATAGCACTCGGTGAAGTACATTATCATACAGGTGTTGGAATGCCTGTGTCTAAATTTACATCCTCTGCACTTCTCCCTCATTAAACAAGCACTTTTATCTGCCACACGTTTACAAAATGGCACCTGTCCCGCTCCGCGCAGCTTGCTCCAACCCTCACCCGCGCTTCGCCCGTGCTGCGCCGCTGCAATCCAGTAGAGGTAAGCAGCAATTATGAAATGGCCTTTTAAGTTCCATCCAGGTTTTAAAGCCATTCATCTAGTTGGAGGCTAAATACATACAGCCCATACGTCCCCATCCCCTCATACATCTAAACAGCTTAACACAATTACTGCCAGGGCAGCGCCTCCGTCCTCTGCCTCTGATGGAGCTGAGTGCGTTCACATAGCGATGGAGGGATACCCAGTGATTGGACAGGTCTTTAATTGGAGTGGAGGTTTGATTGGCCGTAACATGAATTAGATTTGCTTTGGCTCGATGTACAGTTGTCTGAGGTAATTCGGTTTGAAGTCAGCTTCGTCATATGATTGGAAGTGGCTGTGGTGCCGAAACATCATTCCTCTATAAAAAGGATAAGGCTGAGGATTTAAAAATAACTAAATAATCAAACCCAACATTAAAATCATGTAAAGCAAAAAGCCTGAAACAGTTTATTGCTCCGTGTCACAAGAACTATTAAATACACATCAGTGAGCCAATACACTGGAGTGTAAGATCATTTTCCTTTATTACCATGACCTTGGGCGCTGTAGTTTATTTCGATCCCATGTTCTGTCCCGGTGCTGTAAATACTCACTGATGATCTTGAACTCACATTAATCCACAAGTGAAAATAGTTCCCAACAAATGACACACGATTACTCCTGTTTGCTTAAAACTACCGTGCTTAACTGTTTTAATTTTGAACTTAGAATTGATCAAATACAAAATGAAGAATGCATTAAAACAAACTGACAACAGCATTGAGTACACTTGAAATACATAAATCCAGCCATCTCACTCACCCTCTCCCGCCCGCACCCCCAGGCCTCAGCCAGTGGACAACAACAACACATAATCAATTAAAGAAAACTAGATTACATGAGCAGACAGGTTGATTTAAGATGAGAAAAAATAAAGATGGCCTGAAGCAACGGAAAGAGGTAATGAATCTCCAAAAAAGAGGAGCAGCATTTCAATTAGGGGGAGCTTTGTATTTGAATGATCTACGTCTGAATTTCTTTGGAAATTGTGGAGACAAAGAAACAGGGATGTTGCAGTTTTGCAGTTAATTCTTTTAATATCTTTTTATTCTTTTATTTTTTAAAAAACATGTTTTTGATTTATTCTATGGATTTTTTGAGAATCGAGGGGCGAGTGCCACGGTGGAGAGAAGCAGAAAAGTCAAAATGCTGTTGATTCAGGTCTATTCCGAATGATGCAACCCTCATTCTCTCCAGCTGACACAGTCATCATGCTTTCAGTCATCAGGTTTCAAGCTTTAAAGGCGTCCATTCAGTACATTTAATCTGAGGTGACGCCATGAAGATAAGCGTCAGGGGCGACCGTTGTGTTCTCTGTCCGTTCCTTTGAGTCGTAAAACAGAGGTTATATCCAGTTGTAAACATTTACTCAGATAGGATCGTTAATATCTTGTGTAATTCAATATTATTTAAGACTCCTTTTGAATGAAATAACCTTTATTGGATCAGCGTTAACACAGGAAGAGGCCATTTTGTGCCTTGTAGCGGTCTGTTTAATGCTTCCGGTGGATTCAATTCAATAACCTTTACTGAGCTGTATTAACACTGAGATCAGGTTTTCTGTTACAGGTGTGTGTGTGTAGCATGTGTATATATGTATGTGTGTGTGTGTGTGTGTGTAGTGTGTGTGTGTGTGGCATGTGTTTTTTTATAGTAGAGTGGAGGTCGTGCTGTTTTACTGGTTTCCAGAACAACAGCTACAGGTTTTATTAGCCAGTCCTGAGATTGGAAAGTGTGTGTGCGTGCGTGTGTATGTGTGTGTGTGTCTGTGCGTGCGTGCGCTCACGTGGTTCCGCATCTCACGTGTGTGTGTGGCCAAAGTGTCTCCTTGGCAACTCACCATCACCCCTTTCTTACACACACACCCCTACCTCCTCCGTGCCACCGTCATCACCACCACCCCTGGTGGTTCTGATGGAGGGGGCACTTTCTTGTCACCGTGGCAACCTTTCAGCCAGACTGCTGTGAAGCTGCTGGCTGTGGAACACATTGTTGTCCAGTTGATAGGTAAGTGTTAAGACCCTGCAGAGACACGGTGGGGGGGTTCAACGGTGCACCGCGTGTGTGTGTGTGTGTGTGTGTGTGTACTTTGTATGTCATTACTTAGACAATGTCGGCTTTATTAGAAAATAAGACAATATCAGGTTTCATAGTCTGGTGTCAACAACCCCGTAGATTGGATATTGTAATAGGTAAAACAGGCTGGCGGGGATTAGCAGTGTGTGTGTGTTGTATTCAGTTTGTACTACACACAGCCTGTGTAGCAAAGCCTGTAATTTGGACATTGTGTTCAGTGGATGGAACAATTAGAGTTGTGTGCGCACAGCTTTTTTTCAGATTCGATCATCTGTAGGAAAACACTCATTGAGAGTCAAACCTCTTAAAATATCATCGTTGATAATATATAGATCCCGGTGACTTGAACGTGCACTTGAAACGAGCATACGAGCGTTACAAGTGCGCCGCGTTGACAGGCTGCAGGTGAGTCGTGCTCACTTTTTAACGTGGCACTTTTTGAAGTTACAAAGCAGCGTCGCAGAGCAGGTGTTAGGCCTTGCAGGGACTGTCAGCACGGCAGGACCCCGAGGCGATGTTCCAGGCAATGAGTTCAGCGCTGTCTGCTCGGCACAGACACGACAGCGGGAACAATATACGGAACACAGAGAGAGGCGTGTGCAGGTTCATTGTAATTCAATGTAATTTTGTGGATTCTTGCACATTGGAGCATTATAAGTGGCACTGTTGGATATTTATTTTTTTATTAAGAACATTCTAAGACCAAAAATATTGCCAAAGGTTTTCTATATATGATATAGAAACAGAAATATACATAATATTGGAAAGAATATGTAGAACATTCTTTAGATGGTTGGTGTTCCAAAAAGTAAACTCGCTTGACTTCTCGCTGACATCGAGTGTGATTAAAAAGTAGCAAATTGTGATATTGGTGCTTGATCTGTGATGGGGGAGTGTTACAGCTGTGAAGGGCATCGCCCGTCGTCCTGGGCTGTTTGGCTGTTAGGCTGTTTGTCAAATATGTGCACCAGCTTGAATCAGCGGCAATCAGGCAGACATGATGCGAATGGATCGGCGCGAGCATCTGCTGGCACAGCGGGCAGCGATATGTGATAAACGCTGATTTCACCCTCCATTGGATCGAGCTGGCGATGATGGCCACCTCTCCCCCCCCCCGCTCATCCATCCTATTAAACCCTCATTATTCATTTACCTCCAGCCTCAACCGACTGCCATGCATGGAATGAGTGCACTCTCACACCCACACACCCACACACCCACACCCACACACACACTCTTGCAAAACGTGAATTCATATTTCTTATCCTGTTTCATCTCCAGCGGTGAAGGACACACACGCCGCTTCCTCAACAGGCTGTATCCTGACTTCTAACTTTGAACACAATTCTCACATTTCGCAGCAAACACACAGACACACAGTTTCTCTGTGTATAGTGCAGCAGTGCGCTGGCAAGGAGCTTAATTCTATCAGGCTGCGAGCTGGACAGCCGTAATTACATTTGTGACACAAATCCTGCCTCTCAAATTGAGCGTTTTATTCCTGAGCGCTCCCTTCTCTCTATTTATAACCCCTTATTCCCCATAAATCCCACTTCCTCTCAGAAAGTCAATTTAGGACTTAAAAGGCAGCAACGCTCTGCTTACTTTTTCCCTCCTTCAACTTTATCATCGCTTCAGTTTCACTTCCCCCATTTTTTTTATTCTCCTCTGCTCTACTCTGGAGCTTTGAAGCATCTGAAATGACAAAAAAAGAAATGAGTCTTCCCTACAGGGAAAGTTTCAGAGAGGAGAAAACGCAGCTTGCAACCTGTCTGTAACTTCCATGAGAGCTTGTCACTGTTTCATTGTGATGCACAACTGGGAGCGGCTGGTGTGTGAGCCTTTCAGTTTCTTCTACATCCTGTAGGGTGGGTTCCACTCTGGCAGCAGCTGGGCCTGCACGACACCCTCTCCTTCCTCATGTCTCATTTTTCCGTTTCTCTTCCAGCGCTGTATTTCCTCAAATCTTCCCAGCTTCCTTTGCTTCCCCCCCCCCCCGACTTCGCCTCCTCCGCTCTCCAATTCCCTGCTGAATCAGGTGTGGCCTTCACCGCTCCCCTGCTCCTCCGTCTCCCCTCTCTTCCTCTCTGGAGTCGGAGGCCATACCTGAGTACAGTATGATGGCAGTTCATTTACCCCCCCCCCCACCCCTCTCCTGCTTATGCATGAGCCTGTCAGTTCCCATTGTGCTGCTCCTCACTCGTCCCTGTACCACTCCACCTCATTCATCGCTTCTTTTCCTCCTCCTTTATGTTTCTCCTATATGTCTCTGACTCTCTCCTCCACTTCTGTCAAGCCTGTTATTCGCCCGCTCTCTCCTGCCTCCATCCGCCTCGGTCTTTCCACTTCATCTTCATGGCTTCATAGTTCTGGTTTTTAACCATTTTGCAGCTTTGTCCAAGGAAAGTTAGATCCACTAGGGAGATGGTGGGTGAGTTGATTTTGATTGTTTGGGTTCAACCAGGGGATTATTCACTGTTTGAACCGCTGATTGAATCTAAGCCTTCAAAAATATCAGACCAAAAGATATGAAGAGATATGATAAATAAAATAGAATTAGAAATGTATGTCTAATTTATGAAAAACATATTAAGGCCTTATACTTAGGACTCCTAAACAAGGAAATATTACTGTAGCAGTTTTTTTTTGCGAGCCAAATTTTGCTAAAAGCTTGAGATCTCAGCACCAGGAATTACTTTACCATCTCAAATCAGTCTCATTTTGTCAGCACATAAAATCATTTTCCTCCATCAGCCAGTCGTTTTCCCTACCTCCCATTCAACCTCTCATCCTCTGCTTAACATCCGTCCACCTCCTCGCCTCATGGGCCCTCCCACCCACCTCTCGTCTCCTTTTTGTCTCTCAGAGCCTTCAGCCAGCGGAGCGCTGGGCCCGACCCTGGGCCTCTGGAAGTCCAGCTCCCTGGAGAGCCTCCAGACGGCCGTGTCGGAGGCCAAGCAGAGCCACGGCCAAGCCCAGGTTCCCTTTCATCGGCCTCGGCCGCACATGGTGCGGGGGCGGAACTGCAACCAGAGCTTCCGCATCGCCATCGACAAGTCCTACGATGGACCCTCCGAGGATGGTAAGACTTCTAAAAACGGAAATGGTTCAGGTGCTCACACTGTTGCTATGATATAGAATTCTTCCCTGGACTTTGTGTCCATTTTAAATGAGACACTGCTCTGCCAATGCTCATCCCTTAGGCTTTATAACACACTGGCACTCAAGAAGAGCCAGAGGCCTGCCAAGTGACTGTGCTTAGCCTAAGTACCTTAATGAAATTCTACATGATTTTATCCACTCAGCAATTTAGAAAGAGCAACTTTATATCTTACAGCAGCATATATTTTAATGCTCTACCTTTGTGAACCCATTTTGGATGCTTATGGGTGTGTGATTACAGAGGAAATCAAAAATCTTAACTGACATTCAGATGAATTCATGCTGTATGGTGTTTGGGAAATTACTCATCTAAAATGTGCATTATTTTGAATCTTAAGCACCCAACTGATAGTTTAACTGTCTGAAAAGTGACAGTGGATTGTTGTTTACATGATGGTGCTGAAATAAATCTAAAATAATTATCATAACAGTTAGAACGTTCATTCCTCAAGTAGCAGAAAGCCAAGGCCTCTGACTTGCTCTTGGTGACATCATTAGGTTTTGTTATCTGCGGTGAAATATGGTTGGTCAGTCAGGGGATTCCCTCGATTGTTGTTTGCATGATCGTGTTCTAAAATAGAAAAGATTTGATGGAAAAAAAATGTCTGATTGTTGTATTTATTTAATTTATAACACAATCTCATTTCTTTTATTATTTATAAAGGTTTATTGACTGGCACCATGTTTCAGCTTAGTTATGGAGCATTTAGTGATATAAAGCATTAGAAGATTCTCATAGTTATGACATCACAGTCAGTAAAATACTAATGTAGAGAAAGGGTTAAATTAAAACAGTATTTTTGACTCAGTAATGTTTAGTTTTAAGTTGTCTAAAGCTGCATGATGACAAGTGGACACGATGCTGCTTGAACACATCCAGGTGTCCAGCCGCCTGCACTGAGCTGCCTAATAAATGACTAACTCGCTCACTGAACAGTTATCTCCACTGCACACTCATACATGCGCTCTTACTGAAATGCTAAATGCAATGCATGCAGCCGCATTTTACGAGCATGCACTACAGCTGCAGCCTCTGTGATGAATTGTAACCGTTTACCCTCCTTTAAGATGACGACCTGTCCGAGCAGAGCTCCGGTCACGAAACGCCCGCCAGCAGCTCCTCTCGCCAGGGCCTGGACGCTGAGGACGACACAAAGAAGCAAACCAAAGGGAAGAAGAAAGAGAAGAAGAGCAAGGGGAGGAAGAAAGCAGAAAATACTGCGGAGGATCCGGATAAGAAGACCAAAAAGAAAGGATTTGGCCTTTTAAGGTAGGACACCTCAATGTCATGCAGTCTTGAGTCAGTAATATTAAACATTTTATATTTCTCTTAAACTTCCAGGCACTGAGGTGACTCTTTACAGTTGGCTAGTCTATGATAAATTAAGTAAAGTAGTTCCAGAGACTGCCATGCCAGTACCTTGATTCTGCCGGTAATGAGGCTTGTATTTCATCACCACCCTAAAGCCCCAAGGTCTTACTCTAAAGCGTCAACAAGATGGTAATTACTTTTGCTTCTGCGGCCAAACTGCAGATTTATCACACGAGAAAGTGATACTTGGGTGCTGGAGATCCTTTTAGGTGGTTTTCTATCACACCTACGACCACGTAAGCATTTTTGTAGCTGTGATGGAAACAAAATATCACATGCAACCCTTCTGTAAACAGTAGAATTTCAGGTTTATGTAGCAATCGATGGAAAACAACAACCCCCTGTACTACTTTCACTTCGTTTAGTTTCAACAAATTACCCACTGAGGTCTGCAGGATTAAGTGATATTGGATTATTGGCTATGAACACAACCTTCTCGGTAATGGAGGGTATTCATTATCTCTCAATCCAAACAAAGTCCCTGCGACACAGTACCGACCCAAACCGCTTGTTGTCTCTTTATCAATGCGTCCCCATCGTGATTGTGACGCTCCAATCCTCTAGCAGCACCTTATCTACTGGCAGTGACACGGTGTGGTCAGTGTATCGCCGCACTTCCAACACTTGAGATTCAATTAGGCTGCGGCGAGAGATAGCGCGGGCGGAGGCGTTGGCCCTACAGATGGCAGATAAGAATCCAATCGGCCGCTGTGTCAAGGGCGGTAATGGAAGAGATGTTCGCACGGTGAGGCCCCGGTGGTGGAGAGCCGGGAAAGGCAAGATGAAGGACACGAATAGAGAAGGGTTGCATTCAGTTCAGTGTAAACTAACCTTAACTCCAAGGTCTTAAATTGTTGCATTTGCTGCACACATGAAGCCTCTCATGTTTCCCCGCAGCAGAATCCAACAAATATGTAGAAGCTGACACTGCTAGCAGGGAGACAGATTGTGTTTGTAGGATTTTTTGGAAGGTAATCTCTGCATCTGCACTCCACAAGCATACAGTACCGTTTCCTTTTTTTTTGGTCTAGTTTCTCTGGTTGGCGTTGGGACTTTTGTTTCTCTCTTCTTCTATATGCTGTTTCCATCTCATTCTCTAATAGTCTCCATCTCCTGCTCATGTCCACTCTGATTGTGAAAGGGTTGTTTTTTGACCATGTTTTAACTACAAATGACTATATTGAAGGCTGAAGAGCAGCCTGTTTCTTCACACTTGTGTCTGCTCTCAGCTCAAGAGTTGAGTGTGAGGTTGCACACTGGCAACCCACCGTGACGTCACCATTTTCTTTGTGAACTGCAGTTTGGCCTCAAGTTTCTGCATTTTGAAACCAGAAGTTACCATATTTGGAGGAGCAGGGTTTTAACAGGTTGAAACGAGATGACACAGATGTGAACGCTGGCACACCTGTGTCACACGTCCCCATATTTTGCCCATTTGCAATCTCAGCCTTTTGAATCGGCCACAACAATCAGAAGCACTCTGTCCATTCAAGCGCAGACACCGACGCTGAACCATAGAAGCGAGCGTGTTGTTGAGCGCATTGTTGCAGCACTCTCTCTCTCTCTCTCACTCTCTCTCTCTCTCCTTCCCTGGCCTTTATCTGGACAACTTGATTGTTATTGAACTTGAAATATGACTTAATTAGCTGGAGTATTGTGCGGTTCAATCTAATTGCAGCTCTCAAATGTTCCTTTACTCCAATGGCAGCATTAGGAAAAGGGCACATTATAAACACATGACCCCAATTTACCTCCGCACTGAAAGTGTGCACAACTGCAGCAGCTAGCACGACAGATGTTGGAAGTCGGCCCTGTCCTTTCAGCGGCCATAAATATTTGGCTAATCTGGGGCCATATTTGAGGAGAGGGTTGTTTTTGGCGGCAGCTCATTGCAAACATCTGCGTGTAAGGTGACCTCTGGAAATCACATATTTGTCATGGGAACATTTGTTTTTTTGATCAATTCATTTGTCATTATTTTTCTGTGACGAGCACCCTCACAGCTTCTAGATTAGTGCAGATGGATAAAGATATATGGAGGATCATTTTTTTTACAATATTATATTGTATATCTTAAAATTTTGATAAATTGCAGCTGGTGGATTTAAATCTGCATTATGTTACTCATTGGCAGAAAACGCTGCTTATTTAGGCTCCAGATTTCAGCCTGTGCTCTTCTCTCACTCTGCTCATGTTCCTGGCCTCGGATGCGGCTTCTCGTCTTTGTCACCACCAGGCCCCTCGCATCCCCTCTCCCTGATTGCTAAATAAGCCAAGACAAATGGCAGCAGCCCCTCAGACCTTCCTCAGTAGAGGTTGACTGCTTGTCTTGTCTGTATTCAGCAGACGGCAGTGAAGTCTCTGCCTGGAACGTAGCCTCGGGGGCTGCGCCACTGACAGACCATAGAAAGAATAACACACTGGAACTCAGCTGCTCAACATCCCTCGAACAAAGAGGACAACCTGGTCAGGGGTTTCACATGTCTATATCAAACAAAGAAATTTACATTACACTTTTTGATTTGAATAAAGCGCACGCCAACAACATTATTTAATCCGGCTTGAGTTTCCCCTGTCACATAGTTTTTCAAGTTTCCCAGCCTTGGGAAGGGTTAGTGTGCGCAGCTTATGTTTGAGCTCATACCCCGTCTTTTTCTTGTGTGAGGATTAGACACATTATAGTCTGATCCGGCATGACTTGATCAGGAGGTCAGGATTTGAAGGATATAGCTTGTGACTAACATCCTCTGATTGTGTCATGAAGTGAGCCTCGCTGACATTTGACATGCGGCTCAATGGCGAAGCCGTGTGTATTTTTACTCTGTTTACTCTCCTCACAGATGCGCGTGACTCCCGTCTGCTCGAGTGTGTGTCAACAGTCACCGGGCGTATCATTGCTCAAGTGTCCCGCCGGCCCTGCTGGGCACTGACACATCCCGCATGTGTGTTTCCCCCCCATGTCCCGTCAGTCACTCAAGTCAGTCAGGATCGATGTTGAGCTCTCGCTATCAGCAAGCGGCCCACTGAGATGACGCCCCTACGTCAGTTTAAGGGACATGCAAGCTGATGGGTTTTTTTTGATCCGCTGTTTACAAATCCACATATATCCTCTCTCCTACATTTCTCTGTTTTGCGGGCGCTGGAGAAATCCGACAGGGAAGCAAGCCAATTAGCGCCATCCGTTCCGCTCTTATCCTGTTGCAGAGCAGCAGGATGTGCAGGGTTGAAAGGTAGTGACTGGTGGGCTGTACTCTACAGAACCAAAGCCGTGTTGTCAGAGCGGAGGGGCCCACCACAAGATGATTTCTGACGGATTACTGCTGTTATTGTGCCCTCCGCCTCCTCAATCGCCTCCATGAGCCCGTTCTCTCTTCATTTCTCAGTTTCACAATCATCCCCTCTCTCCTCTTTCTGTTCTAAAATGTTTGTTTTTTCTCTTCCCTGGCTCTATCGTGCACTTCTCTCTTTCTGTCCTTTTTCAGCCCTCTACACAGTGAATACTTCTCTTCTCTGGTTGCTTCCCTGTCTGTCCTTGAATGAACTGTTAATTTAACCAGACTACATTAGACAAAATGAGCTCTCAAGTCCCGCTTGAATTCACACAAGTTCATGATTTTCTACAATTAAGTGTGCTAATAGGAGCTCTGCGAGGTCCCAGAGACCCCCTGCCAATTAAACAAGCACAAGACAGGTTGCTCCTCCGATTTTGTCTTTGTGGAGTTTCTGTCGTCTGTGCCCTTTTCTCTGCTAGTAACTCTCCAAATCTTGTTGTGTTTACTCCAAACAAACTTCAAGTCAAAATAGTCGTGTCACCGAATTTCCCAGGAAAGGCTTGATAATGGATGTTTAGGCTACAGCATTAATCACTTTTTTGTGTGCTGACTTTAAACATGCGGTGCAAGACCAGCAATTACACAAGGAGAGAAAAGGAAAAGCAGGTAGGATAGACTATTGGAACAGGCCCTTGTCAACAGTGTTGCTAGGCATACCAAAATCCTTCTGACATGTTTGTGTGGGCGTCTTAGCCGTGACTCTAAGCTGTGATGGGGCTAAATTGTAGGTGCATTACCTAATCCCAGCGTTGGTTAATGCACTGCAGGTGGATTTCTTTGATCCACCATCTCATCGTGGCATTTAAGGGCTGTTAGCTGCTCTGATACGAAGCGTCGTCTTCAAGAGAGTATTTATCAATGTTAGTATTGTCTTTTGTAAAATATGCATAAGGCCGTGCGTACATTTTGCACACAGGACACACCTATCTCTGGTGGGTAAGCATTATCTCTCTCTCCCTTCATCTCTATTCGTCTCTTTATCTCTGCGTAAATAATGTATGCAAAACCACACATCACTTTCAACACTTGACATGTAAGGAACACACCGCTGTGGCGTACTAATCAGGCCTGCCTTAAATACATGTTCGCAGGGAATGTGAAGACAACAATCATGCAGAAGCCTCTCTTATGCATTGTTGCTTGTTCAACCTGCAGCTCAAGGAAGCTGGATTTGATGATTTGCACATGCATGTGTGTGAATGTCATTAAATGCAACGTGTTCATGTTTGTGCTTTTTTGTCTTTGTGTTTGGACAGCCAGTGTCCAGAGCTGTGCATGATATTTGGGAGATTTTCTTTAAATGTTTCAGTTTTCACTTGGACTCAAAGACGAACTCATAAGATTTCAGAGGTCAAAGGTCACAATGACCTCATATGAGTCTTGGAAATAAGTGTGTGTAGACTGAAACTGTTCAGCAGGGGCACACACTCTAGTTTAAGTCCGTCCCTGTTATTCGATATAGTATGGTTCCCAATCTGTCATTACAGTCCTTAATGCATTTGTCCCCTCAACCCCAAATATTCACCGTGACATTGAAACTCTGTCGACAGCAGAGTCGTCTTAAAATTAC